TTCATCGAAAATTGAATTATTGGGGTTCTTTGATATGCCAAATCTAACCGTGTTTTTAGATTTTTAATTTGGGTCCCGTTTTTTAAATTGGTCTTCATTGAGGTCCAAAGGGTCCAAAATTAAACTTAGTTTGATTTTAACAAAAATTGAATTCTTGGGGTTCTTTGATATGCTGAATCTAAACATGTGTTTAGATTTTTGATTATGGGCCCAGTTTTCAAGTTGGTCCAAGTTGGGGTCCAAAATTAAACTTTTTTTGATTTCAACAAAAATTGAATATATGGGGTTCTTTGATATGCTGAATCTAACCATGCATTTAGAATTTTTATTTGTAGGCCCCGCTATCAAATTGGTTCATATTGAGGTCAAAAGGGTCCAAAATTAAACTTTGTTTGATTTCATCAAAAATTGAATTATTGGGGTTCTTTGATATTCCAAATCTAACCGTGTATTTAGATTTTTAATTTTAAGTCCCGTTTTTTAAATTGGTCTACATTAAGGTCCAAAGGGTCCAAAATTAAACTTAGTTTGATTTTAGCAAAAATTGAATTCTTGGGGTTCTTTGATATGCTGAATCTATACATGTGTTTAGATTTTTGATTATGGGCCCAGTTTTCAAGTTTGTCCAAGTTGGGGTCCAAAATAAAACTTTGTTTGATTTTAACAAAAATTGAATATATGGGGTTCTTTGATATGCTGAATCTAACCATGTATTTTGATTTTGGACATTGGACCATAATAGGTAAATTAAAAAAATTGAAGTTCTTAGACCACATTCTTTCTGTGTCAGAAACCTATGCTGTGTCAAATATTTAATAACAATCCAAATTCAGAGCTGTATCAAGCTTGAATGTTGTGTCCATACTTGCCCCAACTGTTCAGGGTTCGACCTCTGCGGTCGTATCAAGCTGCGCCCCAGCGAAGCATTTATTGATTATGGGCCCAGTTTTCAAGTTGGTCCAAATCGGGGTCCAAAATTAAACTTTGTTTGATTTCAACAAAAATTGAATATATGGGGTTCTTTGATATGCTGAATCTAACCATGTATTTAGATTTTTGATTTTTGGGCCCCGTTATCAACTTTGTCCACATTGAGGTCAAAAGGGTCCAAAATTAAACTTTGTTTGATTTCATCAAAAATTGAATTATTGGAGTTCTTTGATATGTTGAATCTAACCGTGTATTTAGATTCTTAATTTTTGGTTCCGTTTTCAAATTGGTCTACATTAAGGTCCAAAGGGTCCAAAATTAAACTTAGTTTGATTTTAACAAAAATTGAATTCTTAGGGTTCTTTGATATGCTGAATCTAAACATGTATTTAGATTTTTGATTATGGGCCCAGTTTTCAAGTTGGTCCAAATCGGGGTCCAAAATTAAACTTTGTTTGATTTCAACAAAAATTGAATATATGGGGTTCTTTGATATGCTGAATCTAACCATGTATTTAGATTTTTGATTTTTGGGCCCCGTTATCAACTTTGTCCACATTGAGGTCAAAAGGGTCCAAAATTAAACTTTGTTTGATTTCATCAAAAATTGAATTCTTGGGGTTCTTTGATATGCTGAATCTAACCATGTATTTAGATTTTGGATATTGGACCATAATAGGTGAATGTCCAATTTAAAATTTTTAAGTTCTTAGACCACATTCAATCTGTGTTAGAAACCTATGCTGTGTCAAATATTTAATCACAATCCAAATCCAAAGCTGTATCAAGCTTGAATGTTGTGTCCATACTTCCCCCAACTGTTCAGGGTTCGACCTCTGCGGTCGTATCAAGCTGCGCCCTGCGGAGCATTTTATTATTTACTTGAAGAAGTAAATATTAATATACTTATATAATAGATATAAGAAGATGTGGTATGAGTACCAATGAGACAACTCTCCATCCAAGTCAAAATTTATAAAAGTAAACCATTATAGGTCACAGTACGGTCTTTAACACGGAGCCTTGGCTCACACCGAACAGTAAGCTATAAAGGGCCCCCAAAATTACTAGTGTAAAACCATTCAAACGGGAAAACCAACGGTCTAATCTATATAAAAAACGAGAAACGAGAAACACTTATGAACCACATCAACAAACGACAACTACTGAACATCAGATTCCTGACTTAGGACAGGTGCAAACAAATGCAGCGGGTTTAAACGTTTTAATGGTACCAAACCTTCACCCTTTTTCTGAAACAATAGTGTAACATCACAACATAGAAAGACACACTATAAAATATCAACTGAAATAGCTTAACTCAATCAAAGGACATATTAACACCATTGAACATACACTGAACAAATAAATTTGACTTATAAGTAAATTTGTAGGATACTTATACAAGTGTATTTTATTTACTTGTATAGGTAAAAAAAATTGGGCTTAGTTATGTCCCTTAGACATTCAGATTTTTTTACCTATACAAGTAAAAAAGTCATCCTATCTTCTTTTCTTGAATTCTTAGGACTTCTTTGCTCTAATAGAATTTGTGATTGTCTGTTCTATGCAGATGTCTTTACTAATCATTTAAGTGTAATTTCATGGATAATGAAAATCTCATTTGTCTGTTATCTTCAGAACACTGTTCATTTACAAGCCCCCAAGGGGCAATTTTTGAAGGCCTTGCGCAAATACTTTAGATCTTTGCGCAATCAGTTTCTTTGTTGAATTAATGAGATGAAACATTGAACTCTAATCAAAAAATATGAGCTAACCTGAGAAAAATTGTTAAAGGCATGTTTTTACATCTCAAAACTTGAGAATTTTTGTGGGATTGTAAAAAAAATTTACTATACAAGTAAATTTTTGAGAAAATTAAGGGAAGATTATTCAAACATTATAATTAACTTATATAAGTTTATTTTATTTACTTCTTCAAGTAAATAAAGATTACTTGTACAAGTAGTACCCCTGACTATAATTATGTTATAAAAATAGAGTGTTACATCAAATAGCTGATCTGGATCCCTGGTAGAATTTTCCCTAGCTCAAAGCTGTATCCCTGGTAAACATAAGGGATCAATATAAAATATTCTTTGGCAGACCATGAGTCGTAGAGGCAGAAAAGAAGCAACACTAGTAACACAGTCATATAGCCTGTTGAATTGTATGACAACAGACTGCCATGAGGAAGCAGAGAAGTATTCAAGTCACATAATCAATTTCTGATAGGAGTAGGCGACAACTCCGTTTATATGTGATATTTAATTTTAGACAAAATCATTGACTGTGTCTTTACTTCCTGTGATGAAAATACTACTAAATGTAATTAAAGACACACAATGTCAGATAAGACATTCCTTACCTGGAAGCAAAGTATCCATGGCTAAATAAAATCGATAAAAAGGGGGTCTCATATATATATAAACAAGTCTAAATTGAAAACAACATTCAAACCTATGATTGCGTTGGATAAAAACCACAATTTTTATATGTGTGCATGCAAAACAAATTTCTTGGTAGAGGGGTCTAAATACAGCACAAACAACATTTTCCAAAAGACCAAAAAAGTGAAAAAGTATATTTTAACAAAACGCATTTGATTAGCAGGTCGAACAACGAATGTTCTTAAACCCTGCTGACTGCCAATGGCGATTGCCAAATAAATGGATCACCAGATGTAACAAAATGGATCTTAACTATTAATTTGATACCAAACAGAAAACAATAAACTTGCGGAAAAGATGGTATACCGCTAACAAAAGGTGCAAAAATTAGTACACCATATCCTGATTTCGACAATTAATGTCTCTTCAGTGATGTTAGGAATCGAAACGGTATTTGGAAGGCCATATAATTTACCTCAATTTAGGTTAGACTCTTGAATTTTGAAGAGTCGAAAAAGGATGAATGGATCATATAAACCCAAAGGCAAATATAATACAAGCCCAAACAAAAAAATATAAACAAGTCTAAATTGAAAACAACTTTCAAACCTATGATTGCGTTGGATAAAAACCACAGTTTTTATATGTGTGCATGCAAAACAAATTTCTTGGTAGAGGGATCTAAATACAGCACAAACAACATTTTCCAAAAGACCAAAAAAGTGAAAAAGTATATTTTATCAAAACGCATTTGACTAGCAGGTCGAACAACGGATGTTATTAAACCCTCCTGACTGCCATTGGCAATTGCCAAATAAATGGATCACCAGATGTAACAAAATGGATCTTTATTATTAATTTAATACCAAACAAAAAATAATAAACTTGCGGAAAAGATGGTATTACCGCAAACAAAAGGTGCAAAAATTAGTACACCATATCTGGATTTCGACAATTAATGTCTCTTCAGTGATGTTAGGAATCGAAACGGTATTTCGAAGGCCATATAATTTACCTCAATTTAGGATAGACTCTTGAATTTTGAAGAGTTGAAATAGGATGAACAGATCATATAAACCCGAAGGCAAATATAATACAAGCCAGAACGAACAAATATAAACAAGTCTAAATTGAAAACAATGTTCAAACCTATGATTGTGTTGGATAAAAACCACAATTTTTATACGTGTGCATGCAAAACAAATTTCTTGGTAGAGGGGTCTCAATACAGACAGCACAAACAACATTTTCCAAAAGACCAAAAAAAGTAAAAAAGTATATTTTATCAAAACACATTTGACTAGCAGGTCGAACAACGGATGTTCTTAAACCCTGATGACTGCCATTGGCGATTGCCAAATAAACGGAAATACAGCACAAACAACATTTTCCAAAAGACCAAAAAAGTGAAATGCTCTGGATGGAAGTCTGCTGCAAGAGACAAATGAAATTCGTCTGAGTAAAATTAGCCCTTACTCTGCCCCACACTGATGTTAAGTAACTAGGTAAGTGATCCACACACTGATGTTAAGTAACTAGGTTTACAATTGATTTTTGCATGCCTATTCCTATCTTAGGATATTTGCATCATTTGATTTAGCTAGTGCTGCATCACTTTTCATAGTGGGGGATTCAAATAAACTTTTTACATTGGTCTCTCAGTATCTTTGTTTTTTCCAGATTTCTTCAAATGTAAGATAAATTAAAGTGAGGAATAAACCATCAACTAAAGTCACTCCTACAATTGAAAGAAGGAAGCCAAGAAAGTCGGGCATACTATTTTAGAAGGTAGACAGTTAAACAGTCATTAAAGTCAGCTTTAACACAGTTAGAAGGTAGCCATTAAGTGAACGGTAACATTGTTAACAGTTAACCAGTTAGACAATTATGGATGGAAATAAAGATCTTCAAAACGTAACAGAAAAACCAAAGAAAAAGAAACCACAAGGTAATTATTGACATAATTCTTTTAGCATGTTTAGTGTTAATGAACTGAATATTGATTTATTGTCATGATTGTGCCTCTACTCATGCATGTCATAGGCACAATGAAGTGGGTTATATACATACTGCAATTGTGCCTCTACTTATGGGTATGATGGAGTGGATAATATACATACTGAATGACCCTGTCTGTACATTCATTCATTTATTCTCCTGTCTGCATTTAACATTCATTACATAATAGTGTAAATTTTTGAGTGTTAAAACACTCTCAGGCATGTTTACAGTACAGGACTGACAACTAAAAACTCTCAGGCAAGTCTACAGTACAGGACTGAAAACTAAAAACTCTCAGGCATGTCTACAGTACAGACCTGACAATTAAAAACTCTCAGGCATGTCTACAGTACAGACCTGACAACTAAAAACTCTCAGGCATGTCAACAGTACAGGACTGAAAACTAAAAACTCTAAGGCATGTATACAGTACAGGTCTGACAACTAAAAACTCTCAGGCATGTCTACAGTACAAGACTGAAAACTAAAAACTCTAAGGCATGTCTACAGTACAGGTCTGACAACTAAAAACTCTCAGGCATGTCTACAGTACAGGTCTGACAACTAAAAACTCTCAGGCATGTCTACAGTACAGGTCTGACAACTAAAAACTCTCAGGCATGTCCACAGTACAGGTCTGACAACTAAAAACTCTCAGGCATGTCTACAGTACAGGTCTGACAACTAAAAACTCTCAGGCATGTCTACAGTACAGGCCTTACAACTAAAAACTCTCAGGCATGTCTACAGTACAGGCCTGACAACTAAAAACTCTCAGGTATGTCTACAGTACAGGACTGGCAACTAAAAACTCTCAGGCATGTCTACAGTACAGGTCTGACAACTAAAAACTCTCAGGCATGTCTACAGTACAGACCTGACGACTAAAAACTCTCAGGCATGTCTACAGTACAGGTCTGACAACTAAAAACTCTCAGGCATGTCTACAGTACAGGCCTTACAACTAAAAACTCTCAGGCATGTCTACAGTACAGGCCTGACAACTAAAAACTCTCAGGTATGTCTACAGTACAGGACTGGCAACTAAAAACTCTCAGGTATGTCTACAGGACAGGTCTTACAACTAAAAACTCTCAGGTATGTCTACAGGACAGGTCTGAAAACTAAAAACTCTCAGGCATGTATTCAGTTACGGTCTGACAACTTAAAACTCTCCGGAAAGTCTACAGTACAGACCTGACAACTAAAAACTCCCAGGCATGTCTACAATACAGACCTGACAACTAAAAACTTTCAAGCATGTATACAGTCCTGGTCTGAAAACTAAAAACTCTCCGGAAAGAGTACAGTACAGACCTGACAACTAAAAACTCCCAGGCATGTCTACAATACAGACCTGACAACTAAAAACTCTCAGGCATGTATACAGTAAAACTCTCCGGAAAGAGTACAGTACAGACCTGACAACTAAAAACTCCCAGGCATGTCTACAATACAGACCTGACAACTAAAAACTCTCAGGCGTGTCTACAGCACAGGCCTGCCAATTAAAAACTCTCAGGCATGTCTATAGTACAGGCCTGACAACTTAAAACTCTCAGGCATGCCTACAGTACCAGTCTGACAACTATAGACTCCCAGGCATGTGAACAGTACCGGTCTGACAACTAAAAACTTTCAGGCATGTATACAATACAGGCCTGACAACTAAAAACTGTCAGGTATGTCTACAGTACAGGCCTGGCAGGTGCATCAGAAAATGGATAAAGTTTTTATCAATTAATGTAGGGACCTCAGTAATAGTTTCAATTAATGTAGGGACCTTAATGATAGTTTAAATACCTACATGCACATTATTTAGGAAATAACCAATTTTATTGTATTATCCTAAAGAACAAAATAGGAGGAAAATGTTGGAACCAGAAAAATAGCTTTCGTGAATGTTTTATCCCAAGTAAAAGTAGATAATCACTAATTTTGAAGTTTTTACAGTTACAGGTTTCCTTACTCATATTAATAGTTACTTGTCAATCAAAATAAATATCGATCAGACAATGACGTAAATCATCTTTACATTTTAACAGGACATCAGGCAAAAAGAGAGGGCAAGAAGAAATCTGGTGATAGTCAGAGACCAGCCATGTCAAGTACTGTACAGTACCACCCAGAAAGTTCAATCCAATATCCGGCAGATAGATTAATACCAGAAGGACAGGGCACCCATCATTTTACTGACAGACTTGTACCTGATGGACAGGCACTCAATCAGCCAAGATTACACAACCTCCCTCCAAAGAAAAGTTTGTCCCCATCATTTATAGCATCTCATGTTCTGTCTTTGGCACAAGAAGGAATGAATCAACCTTCAGAACCATCACATACAGTGCAACATCTTCCTACTTCTCCAAGTAAAGGTCAAAGTTCAACAGAAAGGATCCCTGACATAAGGTTTATGGGACAGATTTTCCCCCAGCCTTCACAGTATAGGGCATTCACTCCACATGGATTAGAACAGGGTGGACTGCGAGCTCCACATGGTTTAGAACAGGGTGGACTACGTCTTCCACATGGATTTGACCAGGGTGGACTGTTAAGACAACAATTGTTACATGGAATAAGACCTTCATCAGATTCTTCATTTCATAGACCAACTATTGATCCTTCAAGATCATCCCCATCTTATCACAGAGTAGACCCCACAAGGTCCTCACCCTCCTATCACAGCCCACCACCAAACAGAACTGTACACAATATACCAGGATCTTCTCCACCAGGGATCAGTGGTCGTGTATCAGAGAGTGAACGGATGTCTCCATATCATGTATCTACAATTCGTAAGACACCTTCCCCAGCACCTAAACGTGTATCACCAGGACCTCAGAAGTCTACACCATCTCCCAAACACCAAAGAATGTCACCAGTGCCTGAGCTATCTTCACATTATCGTCAAGACAGAGTGTCTCCGGCAGAGAGGACACAGTTAAGTTTGGAGGAGGCCATTAAATTGATGCAAGGTCACCCTGGGGCTAGTATTCCACAGCATTTACTAACACAAGTTTCACTAGGTCATCAGGTTCAACTTACCCAGCAACCATCCAGACCTGAGACTGAAGATATAACAAAGGTTTGTAATCTTATACACAGGTCAAAGAGGTTGTTAAGGTAAGGTAAGGTCATCAGGTTCAACTTACCCAGCAACCATCCAGACCTGAGACTGAAGATATAACAAAGGTTTGTAATCTTATACAAACGTTGTTAAGGTTAGGTAAGGTTAATATTCATCCAAACCTGAAACTGAAGCTATAACAAAGGTTTGTAATCTTATACACAGGTTTTGATGGTTAGGTAAGGTTAATATTCATCCAAACCTTAGACTGAAGATATAACAAAGATTTGTAATCTTATACACACATTGTTAAGGTTAGGTAAGGTTAATATTCATCCAAACCTGAGACTGAAGATATAACAAAGGTTTGTAATCTTATACACAGGTTTTATTGGTTAGGTAAGGTTAATATTCATCCAAACCTGAGACTGAAGATATAACAAAGATATGCTGATGACTAGACGATTTAGTTCGTGACATACATGTACTGTGAATTCAGAAATTATTGCGTGCATCTATTATTGCGATTTTGTCATTTTAGACTAAAATGCGATTTAAATTTTTGCGAAATTGAGAAAGACCAGTTTAATTCATATAAAATATTTCAAAATGCAAGTTAAAATTATTGCGATTATAACCCTGTCGCATTTTTCGCAAAAATTAAAACATCGCAATAATTTCTGAATTTACAGTTTTGTATAGACACTTGTCTATTGCTGATGACTGGATGATTTAGATCTTGAAATACATGTATTGTATAGACGCCTGCCTATTGCTGATGACTGGACGATTTAGATCTTGACATACATGAATTGTATAGACACATGTCTATTGCTGATGACTGGACGATTTAGATCTTGACATACATGTATTGTATAGACACTTGCATATTGCTGATGACTGGACGATTTAGATCTTGACATACATGTATTGTATAGCCCCCTGTCATTGCTGATGACTGGACAATTTAGATCTTGACATACATGTATTGTATAGACACTTGTCTATTGCTGATGACTGGACGATTTAGATCTTGACATACATGTATTGTATAGACACCTGCCTATTGCTGATGACTGGACGATTTAGATCTTGACATGCATGTATTGTATAGACACTTGTCTATTGCTGATGACTGGACGATTTAGATTTTGACATACATGTATTGTATAGACACTTGCCTATTGCTGATGACTGGACGATTTAGATCTTAACATACATGTATTGTATAGACACCTGTCATTGCTAATAACTGGATGATTTAGATCTTGACATACATGTATTGTTTAGACACCTGTCATTGCTGATGACTGGACGATTTAGATCTTGACATACATGTATTATATAGACACTTGTCTATTGCTGATGACTGGACGATTTAGATAGTGACATACATGTATTGTATAGACACTTGTCTATTGCTGATGTAGACACCTATAGCTGTCATTGCTGATGACTGGAAGATTTAGATCTTGACATACATGTATTATATAGACACCTATAGCTGTCATTGCTGATGACTGGACGATTTAGATCTTGAAATACATGTATTGTATAGACACCTGTTATTGCTGATGACTGGAAGATTTAGATCTTGACATACATGTATTGTATAGACACTTGTCTATTGCTGATGACTGGACGATTTAGATCTTGACATACATGTATTTCATAGACACTTGTCTATTGCTGATGACTGGACGATTTAGATCTTGACATACATGTATTATATAGACACTTGTCTATTGCTGATGACTGGACGATCTAGATCGAGACATACATGTAATGTATAGACACTTGCCTATTGTTGATGACTGGACAATTTAGATCTTGACATACATGTATTGTATAGACACCTGTCATTGCTGATGACTGGATGATTTAGATCTTGACATACATGTATTGTATAGACACTTGTCTATTGCTGATGACGGGATGATTCAGATCTTGACATGCATGTATTGTATAGACACCTGTCATTGCAGATGACTGGACGATTTAGATCTTGACATACATGTATTGTATAGACACTTGTCTATTGCTGATAACTGGATGATTTAGATCTTGACATACATGTATTGTATAGACACTTGTCTATTGATGATGACTGGACGATTTAGATCTTGACATACATGTATTGTATAGACACTTGTCTATTGCTGATGACTGCATGTTGCTCTCTAAATGTGTGTTTTTTTTTATACGCCCGTTTATGGAACGTATAATGGTAGACTGTTGTCAGTCCTTCATACCGTCCGTTTGTCAACCACATGTCGGACAATAACTCAAAAACTCTTTAACCAATTTGCATGAAACTTTGGTGAATTGTTTATATCTATTGACATGAGCTCCATTTCGTTTTTTATAAATTTTAGATTTTACATTTCTGATTTATGGGGTTTTATTCATTAAAAAAAGGGGGATTTTCCAGTTTTCGAACAATAACTCAAAAACACTTTCACCAATTTGCAAGAAATTTTGATGAATTGTTTATATCTATTGACATGAGCTCCCTTTGGATTTTTATAAATTTTAGATATTACATTTCCGAGTTATGGGGTTTTATTCATTAAAAAAGGGGGATTTTCCAGTTTTCAGACAATATCTCAAAAATGCTTTCAGCAGTTTTCATGAAACTTTGGTGAATTGTTTATATCTATTGACTGGACGATTTAGATAGTGACATACATGTATTGTATAGACACTTGTCTATTGCTGATGTAGACACCTATAGCTGTCATTGCTGATGACTGGAAGATTTAGATCTTGACATACATGTATTATATAGACACCTATAGCTGTCATTGCTGATGACTGGACGATTTAGATCTTGAAATACATGTATTGTATAGACACCTGTTATTGCTGATGACTGGAAGATTTAGATCTTGACATACATGTATTGTATAGACACTTGTCTATTGCTGATGACTGGATGATTTAGATCTTGACATACATGTATTGTATAGACACTTGTCTATTGATGATGACTGGACGATTTAGATCTTGACATACATGTATTGTATAGACACTTGTCTATTGCTGATGACTGCATGTTGCTCTCTAAATGTGTGTTTTTTTTTATATGCCCGTTTATGGAACGTATAATGGTAGACTGTTGTCAGTCCTTCATACCGTCCGTTTGTCAACCACATGTCGGACAATAACTCAAAAACTCTTTAACCAATTTGCATGAAACTTTGGTGAATTGTTTATATCTATTGACATGAGCTCCATTTCGTTTTTTATAAATTTTAGATTTTACATTTCTGATTTATGGGGTTTTATTCATTAAAAAAAGGGGGATTTTCCAGTTTTCGAACAATAACTCTAAAACACTTTCACCAATTTGCAAGAAATTTTGATGAATTGTTTATATCTATTGACATGAGCTCCCTTTGGATTTTTATAAATTTTAGATATTACATTTCCGAGTTATGGGGTTTTATTCATTAAAAAAGGGGGATTTTCCAGTTTTCAGACAATATCTCAAAAATGCTTTCAGCAGTTTTCATGAAACTTTGGTGAATTGTTTATATCTATTGACTGGACGATTTAGATAGTGACATACATGTATTGTATAGACACTTGTCTATTGCTGATGTAGACACCTATAGCTGTCATTGCTGATGACTGGAAGATTTAGATCTTGACATACATGTATTATATAGACACCTATAGCTGTCATTGCTGATGACTGGACGATTTAGATCTTGAAATACATGTATTGTATAGACACCTGTTATTGCTGATGACTGGAAGATTTAGATCTTGACATACATGTATTGTATAGACACTTGTCTATTGCTGTTGACTGGACGATTTAGATCTTGACATACATGTATTATATAGACACTTGTCTATTGCTGATGACTGGACAATTTTGATCGTGACATACATGAATTATATAGACACTTGTCTATTGCTGATGACTGGACAATTTTGATCATGACATACATGAATTGTATAGACACTTGTCTATTGCTGATGACTAGACGATTTAGATCTTGACATACATGTATTGTATAGACACCTGTTATTGCTGATGACTGGACGATTTAGATCTTGACTTACATTTATTGTATAGACACTTGTCTATTGCTGATGACTGGACCATCTAGATCGAGACATACATGTAATGTATAGACACTTGCCTATTGTTGATGACTGGACGATTTAGATCTTGACATACATGTATTGTATAGACACCTGTCATTGCTGATGACTGGATGATTCAGATCTTGACATACATGTATTGTATAGACACTTGTCTATTGCTGATGACGGGATGATTCAGATCTTGACATGCATGTATTGTATAGACACCTGTCATTGCAGATGACTGGACGATTTAGATCTTGACATACATGTATTGTATAGACACTTGTCTATTGCTGATGACTGGATGATTTAGATCTTGACATACATGTATTGTATAGACACTTGTCTATTGCTGATGACTGGATGATTTAGATCTTGACATACATGTATTGTATAGACACTTGTCTATTGATGATGACTGCATGTTGCTCTCTAAATGTGTTTTTTTTTTTAATACGCCCGTTTATGGAACGTATTATGGTAGACTGTTGTCAGTCCTTCATACCGTCCGTTTGTCAACCACATGTCGGACAATAACTCAAAAACTCTTTAACCAATTTGCATGAAACTTTGGTGAATTGTTTATATCTATTGACATGAGCTCCATTTCGTTTTTTATAAATTTTAGATTTTACATTTCTGATTTATGGGGTTTTATTCATTAAAAAAAGGGGGATTTTCCAGTTTTCGAACAATAACTCAAAAACACTTTCACCAATTTGCAAGAAATTTTGATGAATTGTTTATATCTATTGACATGAGCTCCCTTTGGATTTTTATAAATTTTAGATATTACATTTCCGAGTTATGGGGTTTTATTCATTAAAAAAAGGGGATTTTCCAGTTTTCAGACAATATCTCAAAAATGCTTTCAGCAGTTTTCATGAAACTTTGGTGAATTGTTTATATCTATTGAC